CCTCCTCCAATCTCTAACCGCATTGGCCTGTCCGACGACCGATTCCCACCCTGGCAGCCCCTTGGAAAGATACCTGTCTTCTTTGAGCCTCATTTTCCCACCTGGTAAATGAGTGGATGTGACGATGACTTCAGTAGCTAAAGGGTGATGAGCGAAATACGTGGTGGGCTCGAAAGTTGCTATTGTTATTTGTGTTATTCCTGTTAGCTCAAACCATCACCTTTAGAGTCCATTTTAAGTCCTTTAGTTCCTACTTTCACCCTCATGGCAAACGAGCAGAGACAGAACGAAATTCTCATTTTGCAGATGAAAAAGCTGAGGGAGAGGAAGTGATATATCTGTGACCCTGTAGCTTCTGGCAGATTGGTGGATTTTTACCACTTATGTCAGGTGTGCTGTGGCTTTTTCTTTTCATTCCCTGGCCTGCTGGGTCCATGGTTAGGTGAATGTCAAACTAATTAGACAAATGAACAAATAGTGTTACATTCCGTGTAGGCTGGGTGGTGGTTCATACCTCTAATCCCAGCACCTTGGGAGGCCAAGGCCGGAGGGCTGCTTGAGGCCAGGGGTTTGAGACCCGCCTGGGTAAAATAGCAAGACTCTGTCTCTATTAAAAAAATAAAAAATATAGCCGGGTGTAATGGCACATGCCTGTAGATCTAGCTACTTGGAAGGATGAGGTGGAAGGATCAGGTGGAAGGATCATTTGAGCCCCAGCAGGTCAAGGCTGCAGTGGCCGTGAGTATGCCACTGCACTCCAGCCTGGGTGACACAATGAGACTCCAACTCACAAAAATAAATAAATAAATAATATTTTGGCTGTCATCCAATACCTAAAAGTGTGCAGTTCCTCTGTTTTTTGGTAAATCTTAAAATATCTGCTCTGTTGGCATTCCTAAAGCCCACTTCTCTATCTACAAGCAAGAACTGTTTCCTAATTTTGTGCTGAACATGTATAGGTTTCCCTTCTAGTATCAAATCAGTACTTAGAAAGTTGAGTTCACAGTCCAGCAACCTGCAGTTTCTTACTAATCCACAGTGATGATTTTTCTAAGGTTTTTACCTTACTGCTTTTTATTGTGCAGTTACAATAAAGAACTTTTAGACAAGGTGATGGAAATGGCTGATGGCATTGAAGTGGAAGACCTGCCAGAGTTTACTACCAGAAGTGAATTAATGAAAAAGGTAAACAGGATTTCCAAGTGCATGTGATAAAATGGTGTAGAATTAAATGGTCCCTGCTTTCATGACACTATAGCATTAGAGTATGTATATTTTTTTCTTTCCCCATAATTGGTGTAAGCCTTATAACTAGATAACACAGTATCATAAATTATGCATTGTTCATGAAATAACACATAAACTTGACCTCTTCAGGCTGTCTAGGAGTTTAGGAACATTTTTTTTTTTTTTTTTTTGAGTTGGAGTCTCACTCTGTCGCCCAGACTGGAGTGCAGTGGCCGGGACCGCAGCCTCGACCTGCTGGGCTCTGGCGATCCTTCCGCCTCAGCCTTCCAAGTAGCCGGAATTACAGGCGCGCGCTGCCACGCCCAGCTGATTTTTTGGTTTATTGTAGAGAGGAGGTCTCGCTGCCCAGGCGGGTCTCGAACCCGCGGGCTTAGGCAATCCACTCACCTCAGCCTTCCAAAGGCGCGGGATTACAGGCTGAGCCACCGAGCCCGGCTAACATTTTTTTTTAAATCTGAGTCTTACTCTGTCGCCCAGGCTGGAGTGCAGTGGCATGCTCACCACCACCACATTCTCTACCTGCTTCCCTCAGACAGTCCTTCCACCTCAGCCTTCCAAGTAGCTGGAACTACAGGCTTGAGCCACCACACCCAGCTAATTTTTTGTCTTATTGTAGATCTTGCCAAGTTGCCTAGGCTGGTCTCGAACCTCTGGCCTCAAGCTATCCTCTCACCTTAGCCTCCCAAAGTGCTAGGATTACAGGAGTGAGCTACTGAGTCCAGCCCTGTTTTGAGTTTCTTTTGATTGATTTTAAAGAAAATGTTGGCTAGAGTGCTAAAGTTTCCACTTGTTAAAATATCTTGTTGGTAACAGAGTAATTCTCCTTACCTCAGAAGGTAATGGCCTGACCAGACATGTTTGGCCTCTCTTACTGATAGGAATGCGGCCGGAGTAATGTCTGGATCCAATAGATTTTTTTTGTCTGTTCTGCAGGGCTGATCTCAAGCTATAGACTTTTTACAGTGGGCTCTTGCCTTGAGTCTTGAATCCGGAACCTGGAGCTGGAGCTGTATAGAGTATAGCACAGAGAACTTTGGGATGGCGCTGGGCGTCTTTAGTTGCTTTTCAGAATCACCCTCCGGCATGCTTTTTTCACATTTCTCCTGATCTCTGCAGGCAGCAGAATAAATTGTGCACGTATCTTCCAAAGTTCCTTTGGCACTTTATCCAGGCTTCTTTTGGGGGGGAGGGTGTTGAAGTCTCACTCTGTTACCCAGGCTGGAGTACAGTGGCACGCTCACGTCCACCACAGCCTCAACCTGCTGTACTCAGACAATCCTTCTTCTACATCAGCCTTCCAAGTAGCTAGAACTATAGGCACATGCCACTACACCTGGCTGATTTTTTTTTTTAATTTATTGTAGAGACAAGGTCTTGCAAAGTTGCTCAGACTGGTCTTGAACCCTTGGGCTTAGACAATCTTCTTGCTTCTGCCTCCCAAACTGTTGGGATTACAGGCATAAGTCACTGCGCCTGGCTATCCAGGCTTCTTCTTTTTTTTTTTGAGTTGGATTCTCAGTCCATCTCCCAGGCTGGAGTGCAGTGGCACACTCATGGCCACCCCAGCATCGACCTGCTGGGCTCCGGCGATCCTTCCGCCTCAGCCTTCCAAGTAGCCGGAATTACAGGCATGCGCTGCCACACCCGGCTGATTTTTTGATTTATTGTAGAGATGAGGTCTCGCTGCCCAGGCAGGTCTCGAACCCGCGGGCTCAGGCAATCCACTCACCTCAGCCTCTCAAAGGCGCGGGATTACAGGCTGAGCCACCGAGCCCAGCCGGCCCAGGCTTCTTTTAGAGCCACTATGACCTTGAAGGAAAAGATGGCACCTAAAAGTTTCATTTAGTCATTATTACAATAAAACTTAGTATAGTCATATGCCAGAGATGGTACTCAGAAAATATAATATTGACCAAAGCAATAGAATAAAAAGCTGCTGCCCCCTTTTTAGTTTTACCCTTAGAAACAAACCTGAATCTTTGTTTCCCCCATTTGGGTCTCGTTTTGGGAGGGAGGGCACATCACAGAGGTCATTGTCTGTGTGGGTCTCAAGGAGCTAATCAAGACCTCAGCTGCTCAGAAGGTTTGGCCAAAATAGCATATCCCACTTGATCTCAAGGTGATTTGTTTTTCTAAAAAAAGTGTTTTGTTTTGTTTTTATATCTGAATCAGGAGTCAAAAACTACAGGTTGGTATTTGAGATGTTTTGTTTTTGTAACTTTTTTAGAATAGAGATGGAAGTCTTGCTGCTATGTTGCCCAGGCTGGTCTTCAGTTCTTGGACTCTACCACCTTGGCCTCCCAAAGTGTTGGGATTACAGGTGTGAGCCATCATGCCTGGCCTCTTGTTTTTATTTTATTTTATTTATTTTATTTTGAGTCAGAGTCTCACTCTGTCGTCCAGGCTGGAGTGCAGTGGCACACTCACTGCCACTCCCGCATCAACCTGCTGGGCTCCGATGATCCTTCTGCCTCAACCTTCCAAGTAGCTGGAACTACAGGCATGCGCCACCATGCCCAGCTAATTTTTTTGATTCATTGTAGAGAGGAGGTCTCGCCAAGTTGCCCAGGCGGGTCTCGAACCCCAGAGCTCAGGCAATCCTCTCGCCTCGGCCTCCTGAAGGCCTCTTGTTTTTAAAATCAGCTGTTATCTCAATACAGCATTCCTGACATTAAATAAATAACATCAGTTGTTAACAGGGGTTACTGTTTTTAGCCAGGGAGCAGTGAGGATTGGAAGTATGTGGCTCTTTGGATCTTCTCATTAATACTTAAAAAAAAAAAAATCTCTGGTTGATTAGCCTAAAAAAACAAAGCAAAAACAACCCTGGGCAGTCCTTGGGTGTCCCAGAGTGATGAGGTTCTTGCGGCCCAGCCAGGGATGGCCTAGATAGTTGTCAGGGTGTACCCCATGGGAGAGAGGCATGGGTAAGCAGGGAATGGGGTGAGCTTTTATTTCCTAACTGCTTATGGCAGATTCTTTCCTTACTTTTTGTTCCTAAGGGGTTTTCCTCCCTCCTTTTTCTTAAATTGGTCTTTATTATACTTCTTTGTCTTGTATGTGTTCTGAAAGGCAGCTGAACTCTTTCTAGTCATGCTGGGCTATTAAGAAATCAGAAGCCAGGCTTGGTGGCTTAGCCTGTAATCCTGCGCCTTTGGGAGGCTGAGGTGAGTGGATTGCCTGAGCCCGCGGGTTCGAGACCCGCCTGGGCAGCGAGACCTCATCTCTACAATAAATCAAAAAATCAGCCGGGCGTGGTAGCACGCGCCTGTAATTCCGGCTACTCGGAAGGCTGCGGCGGAAGGATCGCCGGAGCCCAGCGGGTTGAGGCTGCGGTGGCCGGGAGTGGCCACTGCACTCCAGTCTGGGCAACAGAGTGAGACTCCAACTCAAAAAAAAAAAAATCAGAACACTTCATGACACTAGAACTGCGCCCCCAGGAAGAGGCTAAGGAGGTCTGGCATGTCCCAGACATTATCCACAGACAATTGTGAAAATTGTGAGAGAGAGAGAGAGAGAGAGAGAGAGAGAGAGAAAGTATTGGGAAGGATCTGGCTAAACTGTTAAATGTTATAAAGGAGTCTTGTACCTCAAACATATATGGAGCCCCTGCCCTTCTTGACACTGTCATTGAGCCTGGAGAGAAGAGTCCTCAGGCATGAAATTGGTGTCCCTGAAACCGAAACCATGCTGTTCTTGTACTAATCATTAGGAGTTAACTACATGGAAGAAGCCAAGGCCACCATTCTGTAGCATTTTTGGATCACGTGTACTGCAACTTACTTTAAATAAAACTGTGTTTTCTAAGTAACCAAGTTTAATTTTAGAGTGTTATGCCACTGAAAAGGAAATTCAGCCGATCCTGAAAAGTAACATACTTATAGGGTTTATAGAGCTTTGCCAGTTGTTAAGACTCTTCTAGATAAGCCCATCCTGAGAACAAGCCATTGGATCATGTAGTATGACAGATTTGTGTGGTATTAAAGCCTGTCTCCTCTCCACTGAAGGCCACCCTGAGAATCCACCAGAAGGAGAGCCATGGGAACTTCACAGCAGTTTTGTCCCATGGTGGCAGTTTTTGCATGACATAGGGGAGGCTGGCAAACATTAGACAACATTGCCAGTCCAGAGAAAAAAACCCTGATGTCAATGTCAAGCCATACACACGAAAATGTCTGTTGTTCTGCACAAAATTGATCCTTACCTCTAAAATTAGAGTTTAGTTGGGTTTTAAAGCTAGTTACCAAGTGAAAATGAATTGCCTGGCATTGTTGACATCTCAAGGCCAGACAGTGATGATGACTTGGAGACATAAGCTCTTTAAAGGAAGATTTAAAAATACTTTATGGCTATTCTGCAGCTTTGAGGCAAGGACATCTCTGCAGTTTGTGCAACTCTTTTTTTTTTTGTCTGAGAAAAGAAATGAGCATTGGTTTCTGACAGGTGGGATTTGTCAGATAGTTGCAGTGTATGATTTTTTTTTCTTCTGAAAGAGGAGGGTTCAAACACAAATATATATATATATATATATATATATATATATTTTTTTTTTTTTTTTTTTTTTTTTTTTTTGAATTGGAATCTTACTCTGTCCCCCAAACTGGAGTGCAGTGGCCGCCCCCGGCC